ACCGCATGGTGCTGGGGGGCACCCAGGCCGAGGACGCCGGCACCTACCACTGCACGGCCGCCGAGTGGATTCAGGATCCCGACGGCAGCTGGGCCCAGATCGCGGAGAAGAGGGCGGTCCTGGCCCACGTGGACGTGCAGACTCTGTGTGAGGGCAGGGGCTGGGAGCCGGAGTATCTCGGGGGCTGGCTCCACGGGCACTGGGGACACTAGATGGTCCTTGTCTGGCCAGGGAACCCACCTTCCCTAGAGTGAGCAGTGCTGTGAGCATCACTTCCCTCTGGACCCAGGAGGGCTTTTCTGTGCTTAGAGTGGGAGTGGAGACAGGAGGGCTCTGGCTGAGGGTGAGTCAGGCCCCTGGGCGGGGAGACGGTCATACTCCGGGAGGGTCAGATGGGTGGCCTCGAAGGGAACAACAGCTGGTGAGGCAGGTGCCCTGTGCCCACTCCGGCCTCCGTGATGCCTCTTCCCCCTCCTGTGTTTCAGCCAGCCAGCTAGCCGTGGCGGTGGGGCCTGGTGAACGTCGGATTGGCCCAGGGGAGCCCTTGGAACTGCTGTGCAACGTGTCCGGGGCACTGCCCCCACCAGGCCATCATGCGACGTACTCTGTGGGCTGGGAGATGGCGCCTGCAGGGGCACCTGGGCCTGGCCGCCTGGTAGCCCAGTTGGACACAGAGGGCGTGGGCAGCCTGGGCTCTGGCTACGAGGGCCGGCACATTGCCATGGAGAAGGTGGCATCCAGAACCTACCGGCTACGGATGGAGGCTGCCCAGCCTGGAGACTCGGGCACCTACCGCTGCCTCGCCAAGGCCTATGTCCGAGGGTCTGGGGTCCGGCTTCGTGAAGCAGCCAGTGCCCGCTCCCGGCCCCTCCCTGTGCATGTGCGGGAGGAAGGTAAGAGGGGCGAGTTGGGCTTGTAGATCCCTTTTCCTTCTGTTCCCAGGCCTCTCTCCCTTCATCAGCTGCCTCCATGCCTTAGTCTCACACTCCTCTTGTAAGATTGTGGGGACACCTTGAATTTCCTGGGGTGTTGCTTGGACAGCGGTCCTGGCCGCATGCCCCCGACCCTTGACCCTCTGCTGCCATGGTCTCTGTTGTGTAGGCGTGGTGCTGGAGGCGGTGGCGTGGCTGGCAGGAGGCGCAGTGTACCGCGGGGAGACCGCCTCCCTGCTCTGCAACATCTCCGTGCGGGGTGGCCCGGCAGGGCTGCGGCTGGCCACCAGCTGGTGGGTGGAGCGACCCGAGGACCCAGAGCTGAGCTCTGCCCCTGCCCAGCTGGTGGGTGGCATGGGTCAGGATGGTGTGGCAAAGCTGGGGGTCAGACCTGGAGGAGGCCCTGTCAGTGTGGAGCTGGTGGGGCCCCGGAGCCATCGGCTGAGACTGCACAGTTTGGGGCCCGAGGACGAAGGCATATACCACTGCACCCCCAGCGCCTGGGTGCAGCATGCCGACTACAGCTGGTACCAAGTGGGCAGTGCCCGATCGGGGCCTGTCACAGTCTACCCCTACCTGCATGGTGAGTGCCTCCCTCCCCACCTCCTGACTCACCGCCTCCCTCCAGCCCCACGCTCTTATTCCTCCCTTTCCATCTGACCCTCCTACCACTCTCCCCTCTTCTCCCCACATCACCTCACACGGAGAGCCCTGAAAATCCAGCTGTCCGCCCCCAGGGCCCATCTGCCCAGAGTCCTCGGAGGTGGAGGGTGCTGAGTGCAGAGAGGGCAGGGAGTGGGCTGGGAGGGCTGTCTGATTGGGGAGGAGGTGCAGACAGCTTGATAAAGAAGGTGCTGGGACTTCAGGGAGACAGTGCGTGGGGGGCAGCGGCACCCCAGGCTGAGCCATTCTCTCTCACCCAGCCCGGGACACCCTGCTCATGCCCCTGCTGGTGGGGGCAGCGGTTGCCCTAGTCACCGGCGCCGCCATCCTTAGCACCATCACCTGCTGCTTCATGAAAAGGCTGCGAAAACGATGAGCCCTTGCCCCGGCCCAGGTGAGGGAAAGAACCCTGGCCTTGCCTTCTCAAGCCCTGTTAGGAGCTGCTTGCTCCTTGCCCCCCCTCCCCCGCCCCCCGGCTTCCCCGAGGAGGAGCCAGCTCACAGTTCTCTGCAGGACCCTGTGAATTCATGGGGTGAGGGCTGGGAGGGAGCCCCCCCGCCCCAGGGCCCTCCTTAGCCCACTCCACACTTTCTCTGCAGGTCTCACAGGTGTTGACTGTCTTCCAGCCCAGCTCCAAGCCCACCTCTGGTTGCCCGGAAACCCTCTCCCTCTGTCTGCTCTTCCTTTAATTTATTGGACCTACCCCCACTCGCAGTGGGGGGCCTGGCCTCCACTCCCCACTCCTGCCTCCCGATTCCTCCCTCTGGCTTTGTGTTCCGTATCTCACACCCAGCCTGCAGGGAGGCCTTCCCCATCCTGGTTAGTTTTTCTAAGATGTGAATAAACTGGTTTTATAAAATCCAGGCGTGGCGTGTCTTCCCTGCATCGCGCTGTGAGAGGCTGGGGGTGGCAGGGAGGTTGCCGGGGGCTGACAGCCTATTCTGGGTGACCCAGGTCTCTTCCCACCACAGACGCCATCTGGCCTCCGTGGGCTGTGCCGCCCACCCAGGAAGGGACACCTGGGCCCCATCTGCTGCCAGTTCCTACTGGGACTCCTACTCAGGGAGGGAAGCACAGAGAGGGGAGGGGGTCCCCGCTCCCAGCTTCTCCTAGGTTGTAGGATCCAGTGCCCCCTCTGAGCTCCCGGCAGCGCCTGCACTCTCATTCTGCTGGTCCTGCTGGTCCCGCTGGTCCTGGACCTGACTCCTCCCACAGGCCCTGGGGCCTCAGCAGATTTCCTGGGATCTTCATTATTCTGTCTGACAGCAGCAGAATAGAAGCCCCAGGCCCAGCCGGCGCGGCTCTGGTTGAGCGTCAACCTATGAACCAGGAGGTCGGTTCGATTCCTGGTCAGGGCACTTGCCCTGGTTGCGGGCTCAATCCCCAGTGTGGGGTGTGCAGGAGGCAGCCGGTCAATGATTCTCTCTCATCATTGTTTCTATCTCTCCCTCTCCCTTCCTCTCAGAAATCAATAAAAAAAGAAGAAGAAGAAGAAGCCCCAGAACACAGCCCTGCTTGGGCGGTGGGTACACAGCAGCCAGGGCAGGCCTGTGTATCCATAGCCCCTGCATAAACCCGCCCCATAGCCTGCAGGCACCCCCAGGCCTTACTCACCCTCTGCCTAAGGGATCTTTAATCTTAGGATTCTTAATACACTGCACTGTAAGGGCACAGTCTACTCTTTCTTTTTTTAAAAATCATTACATATGTATATAATTTTCTTTCAGTCTCCCATTTCAGTTATTTATTGAGCATTACTGGTTAGCTAAGTGCTGTTTTTACAGGTGGGGAAACTGAGGCCCAGAGAAGTGATGTGACTTACCCAGAGTCATAGAGCTCATCAGTGACAGGGTCGGGACTAGACCTAGGTCTCCCGACTCCTTGCACTGTACCCAGCGGTGCCGAGTGGTGAGGACAGGTATGGTGGTCTCAGTGCCTCCCATCCCGCCCGTGTCTCTGCCCATTCAATTGCAATGGATTAACTACTGTGTGAGTGTGTGTGGACACAGACAGCCCTGCCCTCCTGCACAGACTCCAGCTTTTTCATGGAATTCAGCCCATCCTGCACCCCACATTTGTTCTTCAGGTGACGCTAGGGTCCCAGGATCTCATCTGTGATTGATGCTGACTCAGGTGGCCCTGTGACCTGCGGCAAAGACATCCTTTCTGAGTGAACCTGAACTGGTATGGACTTCCGGGACCCACATTTCTGCTTCCAGGAGGCACAGGGCCTCGGCCTCCCAGCCTGGACTGGAGCAGATTGTGGTGTTTCCCCAGACTTTTATTGAAGGACAGGAGAGGGGTGTGGCCAGTATCAGAGGCATGCCTGCTGGGGCACACCTTTTCTCTCAGGAGGCCAGCCTCAGGTCCCCGGGAGCTCTGCTTCTCCACTTGCCATTGCTCTCCCCTCACCATCTCGGGGGGCTGCCCTTGGAGACTGGGATGAACCAGGAAGCGGGTGGATGTGGAATGGGAATGGCCCTGCTGGGGATCCCGTCCCAGCTGGGCAGACCGCGGGCCACAGACACAGCCAGATATTGGACGTCTCACTTCTCTGACCTTCTCTCCCACATTTAATTCCACAAGAATGTATCTGGTGTGTTCGTTGTAGCATCTTCGCTGCAAGCATTTTTGCCTGAAACATTTTCAGTGCATAACTAACTGGCCAGAAGGCAATTTTGCTGTGAGAGGGATAAAATAACTGTTTGACAGTTTGGGGTATTTTTGTATTTGTTTGTTTGTTTTCATTTTTCCATTGACAAACCAATCACCTTCAGCAGACTTCATACATTTAAGCTAGTTCTCATTCTGGTTTCATTTCTCCATTCATAAAGTTCTTGCAGTACTCCCATTTTTAAATTGCATATAAATCTTAGCTAGTTTCCATTGTGGTCTACTCAGTGACGAGTAGACGGATGCTGGTCTTATAATAGTTAGCATTTCAGCCCTAGCTGGTTTGGCTCAGTGGATAGAGCGTTGGCCCGTGGACTGAAGGGTCTCCAGTTCAATTCCAGTCAAGGGCACATGCCTGAGTTGTGGGCACATCCCCAGTAGTGGGTGTGCAGGAGGCAGCTGATCAATGATTCTCTCTCATCATTGATGTTTCTCTCTCTGTCCTTCCCCCTTCCTCTCTGAAATCAATAAAAATATATTTTAAAAAATAGTTAGCATTTCTTCCAGATAACGATGATTTGCCCCCAAAGTTGGTTTCTTACTTTGAAAGACATCACCTTGGGAGCAGAAAGAGAGGCCAAGGTCCCGCTTTGAAGGCGCAGAGTGGAACCCACATTTCCCACAGAACTAAGCCAAGTAGTTACGTACAACCACAAAATAAAATCAGTGACCTGTGCAGTACTGCCACGAGGCCGCACCCTTTTAAAATGTACTCGAATACCTTGTATTTTGCAATAAAGTCTTTTATTTTTTTCCATCACCATGTATCCTCTCTGCCCTTTAGTCTCCTTCTTTTTAATGGCAGAATTGCTTTATAGCCAATCAGCTTATAGCCAATCAGGTATGCGGCCAAAATGCTTGCAGCGAAGATGCTACTGGGAAAGTAAGAATGCCCAGGGGGTTCCCTCCTTTGCCACTTCCTGCTGCAGCTCCCCACCACCTCCCCAGGAATCCCCTCAGGGCCGCTACTGCCTCCTCCTATCTGAAATGCCTGCTTATCTTCCCCAAACACTGTCTCTAGCTGTCACTCCCAGTTTCCACGGATGGGGGAGTTCCTGGGCCCAGAGTTAAACTCATCAGCCTGGGTTTCGGGGTACCTCTCCCCACACAAGACTCCACTCTGTATATCTCAGTCTCCACCCCAAGATCCCCCAGCTTCTCCTCAGCTTGTGTCCTCCATCTCCAGGTCTTCGCTTAGAGCAGGAGCCCTCCAACTGTGGTCCGCATTCCAGCCGTGTCAGCGTGACCCGGGAACTTGTTAGGCATGAAAATGTTTGGTCTCCGCCTCAGACCCATTGAGTCAGAAGCTCTGGGAGTGGGGCCACAGTCAGTTTCCACAGCCCTTCAGGTGACTCTGATGCACACTCAAGCATTACAGCTGATGGCTTAGACATTCTCCGTGCCTTGCTCAACCCCCAGCTTTCAGATTACCAAACCCTTCTACCCCTGCCCAGAGACTGCTCAGGCTCTCCCTTTGAAACAGTTGCCGTGGGAGTACTTCTGTTTTCCCTGGCGCACTATATTCCGAGATAGGAAATGGGTCTGGGACTGTCCATCCCCGTGTGCCCAGTTCAGTGTTCTATGCCCAAAGGACACCCGATGGATGGTATGAGTGACTCCTTCTCACTAATTCTGCTTTCCCAAGGGCCCCCGTGTCCCAGCTCTAGTGAGCTCACCTCAATCCCTCCCTGACCTCTTCCTCCTCAGAACCCTCTCTGCCCTCCACCATCGCCGAGGTGTTTATGACATTTCACTCCTTTGCCAGGGCCCCAGCTCTGGTAGCTCCCTACTTCTTGCTTCCCTGTGCAACAGACAAAGCCATTCACACCTGCTGGGCCACTCCTACAGCCCCTCATCCTCCCATTCAGCCTGCCACAGGGGTAGGGGTGGAGCTGGGAGGGCAGCCTCCTCAGCTCTGCCCACCTCCATCCAGCTTTCTCTCCTCTGGGTCAGCTGGGCTACTGTATCTGGTGAGACAGGTGTGCCAGGCACAGGGAAGCAGGCTGAGGAGGTGAGTGCAGGCTAAGATCCAGCCCACGTTCTGTGCCCCAGGCCACTCACCCTGGTTTGGGGTGGTGTCAGTCTGGAGGAAAAGGGTGCCTGTTTAGAATTTGTACAAAGATGCTCAGTGGGTTAGCAGCAGCCCTGAGTGTACCACCTGTCTGTCGGTCCTCTTACCTATCCACTAGCTGTCTCCCTGTCTGCTTCCACCTTCCCATCCAATCCACATAAGTCCATCCTTCTGTCCATCCATACACCCATGAGCAGATGTGAAGGTCAAACACAACAGGCTGGTCAGTTCACGCTCCCTGCTCTCCATTCTCTTGATATCAGGATGCCTCCTTCCACATTGGATCCTGGACTCGAGATTCTGAGGGGCCCCTCCAGCCTTAGCACGTCCCCAGGCACCTCACCAGACTCCTCCACCTCCACTATCCAGCGCCCTAGGTACCTGTGTCTGATCCTGCCACAGGGGTCTGCAAAACTGGTCACACCTTAGACTCACTCTCTGGTGGGGGCAGGCAGCCATTCTTCCCCTTGTCAGCCCCAGCCTCTCCCTCTGCCTCCTCCCCTGCCCCCTCCCTTGCCCCCTCTTCCTCCACTCTCTCATCCAGCCGGCTGGGTATAGACCAGTAGAGATGGGCATCAAGGCGGGCCTCTGCCTCGGCCAGCTCCCGGGCACTGCATGAGGGTGTGGGCACCTCAAAAGTCTGGTGGAAGCTGGCATAGTCCACCTCGTAGAAGCCGTCCTCCAGGGTCAGCACTGATGTGAAGCGGTGGCCCCACAGCACCTCGTCCACCAGGTAGGAGCTCCGAGCTTGGCATGTCATTCCTGGGGGGAAGGGCATGGGTCAGAGGGATCCCAGCCCCAGGCTTCTCTCTCTTGCCTCTCACTCCATGACCTGATTCCCAACACCTTGCCTCATATCCCTCCCCAAGGGCCCCACCCCCTTTTGGTCCAGCCCACTTTTCTCCCTTTCCCAACTCCTGAACTTGCTCAGTTCTCTCATCTCTCGTCCATTTGTACAGCCCCTCTTCATCTCCAACCCGCACTCTCCCTGCCTCTCCACTGGAGATGCCAATCAGAGAAGCTTAACCTTAAAATTGACCTTGGGGATCATCTAGTCCAACATCCCTCTCCATATAGGGCTTCCCACTGGAGCATTCCCAACTGTGGGCATCTGGCTTGCACTCAATTACCTCCCAGAATCGAGAGCTCACCACCTCGCAAGGTGCCCGCTCCTTTGCACGATGGATGTAATAGTTGAGCTAAAATCTGCCTCCCCGGATTGCTACCCTTTGGTTTCATTCCTCCCTTATGACACCCCTTCAAGTATCTGAAAGAGGTTCCATCTCATCTTCTCTTCTTCAGGCTGAACATCCCCGTCACCACTGCTCATGTGACCTGGGTTTCCAAAATTTTACTTTCTTGACTGTAAACCAGAATGGCCAAGGAGGATCCATTAAGCACTCTCTGATAAGGAGTCCAATTGAGGCCTGATCCTTGCATGAGAGAGGGCTTCGCACTGCTCTCTTCTGGCCTCAATGCTCTAGAGCAGTGGTTCTCAACCTTCCTAATGCCGCGACCCTTTAATATAGTTCCTCATGTTGTGGTGACTCCCAATTTCATTGTTACAAATTGAACATAATTAAAGCATAGTGATTAATCACAAAAACAATATGTAATTATATATGTGTTTTCCGATAGTCTTAGGCGACCCCTGTGAAAGGGTCGCGACCCACAGGTTGAGAACCGCTGCGAGTCTAGCCAATAGGGCCCAAGATTACATAAACGTGTTGGAAGCTGGATCACACTGCTCTGACATTAAGCCTGTGGCCAACTCAAACCCCCAGTTCTTTTTCACCAGAGCTCTTCCATGCTGTGCTTACATAAGTGATTTTTTTTAAAGTCTAAATGTAGACTTTTATATTTACTCCTTTTAAATGTCATCTTGTTGGATTTGGGCTCATTATTCTTGCTTTTCAAAAGCATTTTGGATCCTGACTCTCACACTCAAAATAATACCATCCTTTCTAGTTTTGCCGCTCCAGAAGTCAGACAAGCTCCATCCCTATCTTCTCCACCCCACCCTCCTGGCCCTGGGCCTGTGTCCGGTCCTCCCTCTTGGGTGGGCACACCCCTAGGGCAAGTGGTTCTCCTCCCCCGGGGTCTCTCCTTTCCACCTCAGCCCACGTGCACCTCAGAACAAGGGGGGACAGAGTGAACACCAGCTAACCAGACTGGCTCTCACCAGGGCAAGCCCCACATGGAGACACCTCAGGGTCACTGGCAGCCTTCCTCCCTTGATGAAGGCGGGGATAGGAAGCTTCCAGTGAGGGAGAAGAAGAGGCCAAAGGGACCCTGGGGACAGGGGGCTGAGACGAAGAGAGGGAGGGGCTGGGTACACAGGGAGAAGAGGGATGGGCAGGAACATCCTTGTAGGGGAGGGGCTGCCTCAGGTACTGGCAAAACAGAGCTGGAGGGATAGAGAGAAAAGGGGGTGGGGTGAGTGGGGAGGAGGAGAGCTAGGGGAGCCCTGGGGGTGGTTAAGAAGAAAGGGGGAACACGAGGCAGAGGGTGTGGGCAGAGGATCAGCTTGAAGGGGCCAGGAAGAGGCTTGTGGGAGAAGCTGGCAGAGTGCAAAAGCTCTGACAACAGTGGCGGGAACCACGTGGGCCTTCAGCCATCCACCTGCAGTTCTCGAAGCCGCCTCCCGCTCGGAGACCTCAAGCCCGGAAGGACCTCACCGCTGCGGGCGCTGACCTTCTCCTACCTTCCTCCAGGGCCTTCACTGTATAGGCCTGAGTTGGAGGCACTGACATCACAGGGCGCTGCCAGTCCTCCCGGGAGCCACTAGAAATGCTAAGAGCATCTATTTCCTTTGTCGGTGGAAGTTGAGACTCTTTGGATGGATGGGGAAACTGAGGCAGAAGTGAGACCAGGTGTCAACCTCTCGGTAAAGGCCAGCCTGGGCCAGCCTAACTCAGGTCAGGGAACACCCTCACCACCAAATTCCAGGGGCCTGGGCGAGACTCTCAGAACCGCCCCCTTCCAACCTGTAGCACTAAACACCGAGGCCAGACTGCCTGCCCCCTCCAGGCGTGGCCACTGAATAGCCTGTGGCTGCAGACAACTTGCTTAACCTTCCGTTGGGCAATCTCCTCTGAAACACGAGCACAATAACAAGTTCCCTTGGAGAGGTGCTCGTTAAGATTGAATGAACTCGGAGGTGTCAGGTGCGTGGGAGCCGCAGGACAGAGAAGCGCTGATCACAGCCCTCTCCCTGTTCCCACGGGCAGGCCTTTCCCTTGCTTCTCGTTGGGGTCACTCTGCTTACATGCCCTGCCCAACCGAGGTCCCCCGTCTCACCGTATTCTCACCCTTCACTGG